GAAAAAAAACTTTGCTGGTCAGATTGTAATATGTAAATGAGACTGTTAATTAATAGTTTTGCACCTTTCTTTGTTAAGGCCAGTGTTAGTCATTTAGCTTCAGTTTTTCAATTATCATACTCTAGTCTCTAGTCTATAAAGATGTTAATTAAGTGTTTGTAAAGGTACAGTACATGTGTGCATATGTTAAAGAAATCACACTATGGCTGGCAAATATACAAAGAAAACTGGAATTAAAGGAAGAAAAACCATAAATAAAGCAAAATGTTTACGACAGTCAAGCAGCAAGGAAATTTCATTGTAGCATTTATAAATTAAAGGATCGTGGCCTTGTGGCGAATAAGCCTCTTCACTTGAAGACCACAGAATTTTCTTTACAGCCTATACGGAAGAAAATCTTTTTTGTATATGTGAGCAGACCTGTTAAAGCCATACAGCTTGTGCTGCTGGACTTGCTCCCTCGCCACCACGCAATCAGCGTCAAGGTTCTCCTAATTATTTTATTTGTTAATTCAAAGAGGATCTCTCATTCGGGGAATAAATTAGAAAGCAAATGGGGAATAAATGATAATGCTCTTGTACTTTCTTCCCCTTTGTGAATGAAATTGAATTGGCTCTGTGTGGAGAGAAGTAGAGAGAAAATATAAGAAAATGATTAGAGTACCTATGTACTCATGGTATACAATGAGAGTATGTGCAGTTTTTCTATCAAAATTACATTTGTATGCATAGAGACACCTGCTCCTCGCTCTGTTGTTTTGAAATAACTGGTGGATTATGTGGTGTACTCAAGGGTTAGTTAGCAGCTGGAGTAGAATATATTGGAGTATATAAGAAATATATAAGTATATATGAGGCCAAATTGTGCAAGAGCGGATCTAACTTATGCTAAGTAAAGAAGAAAACTACTCTAAAGTTTAAGTTGTTATTACGAGGTTACAAGTGTTATTATCTGCCCACTAAAGTTAACTTGCTGTTAGTTACGAACAGGACTCATAGATTAAAACACAATAGCAGAATGCCTCAAAACTAAGATCATGTTAACAGTGTGTTTGCACTGCCATTGTATATGTTTTGTTTTGAGCACATGTGGGGTTAGGTCACTCTTTTCTTCTTGCTGGGTCAGAATCAGGTTAATTGGACCCACCCTTGCTCTGGCTCGATATATTTACACACAAATTGATAGCAAGCCTGCTCAGTTGATACTTTAACCGCAGCATGTTGCTGTTAACAGATGGAGTTTTTAAAGTGAACCCAGTCATGCACGGTCTGCCTCCCCTCCATGCTTGCACCTGCTCGCTTGTTAACCTGTAGGTATACAGACATACTATGCAAGTGTATGCAGTTTTTTTAAATTTTCATTAGTATTGCATTCCTTTCTATAGTAACACCTGCTCCGTTCTCACTTTTTTGAATAAATTGAGGGTTAAATACCTTGCTAAAGGGCTGCTAGATGCTGAAGTTTAAAAAAAAGTTATTGCTGTATACTTCAGCCCATGTAGGAATTTTCACATGGAGCTGTTTTCTGTTGAAAAAAAAAAATTAAAACAGAATGAGGCATTGGAATTGCAGAAACACTCAAATATTATTACAAAGCAACAACTCTGACTATTGTTTTCAGAATTAAAATTATCAAGCACTGGGGTCTGCTGTAAAAGTCAATAACAACTGCAGTCAAGAGAGTTACTTTTGTTGTTATTTTGGAGAAACAAAGTTTTCTTGTTTATTTGCTTTTCCCTCCTCAGAAACTAGACAGAATACACTTGGTTTTTGATTAGCTGGGTGCGCTGGGCTTTTGGTGCATTGGTACACCACAGTAATTAGGCTGTCAGTCAAAACCAGATGGCTGGTGGCTAAAATGGGGGAAGTGTTCAGAAGAGTCTCCTGCTTAGTTTTCTTGTTGTGAGTCCAGAAATGATGTTAGGACAGTGGTTCTTAACCTTGTTGGAGGTACCGAACCCCACCAGTTTCATATCCACATTCACCGAACCCCTCTTTAGTGAATTTTTAAAAAAAAAAATTTCAAATTCAAGACATAGATATGTTTTTTTACTGGTGCACAAAATGAGCCGTGCATGAACATCACCTTGTTCAAAGAACAAAACCAACACAATGCATGAACTTACAACAAATTACATACCTGCAAATCCGTGTGACTTCTGCTGTTGCCTTTGAGAGACCAGTTCAGATATGCGTGGCTTCACCTTGGCAAGTCTGTGTCATTTTCAAAGAAAAGTCTGTTCCTTTTCTTCGTTTTTATATCCAGCATTGTCGAAAAGGATTGCTCGCAAAGATATGTTGTAACAAATGGTATAAAAAAAATCCAGAGCTTTCTTAGCAATAATTGGATACTTGTCCATTTGTCGACACCAAAACGTTGAGAGCGTTGTTGTTCTGAAGAGTTGCTGTTGAACCTGGCTCTGCTGAATTTCAATGATTCCGTCAAGGTATTCATCATTGACATCTGCTGTCTCAACAGCAAACGTGAACGGCTGTCTCACCCATGCTGGATATGACTCTCTTGTAGGGAAATATCTGTCGAGAGACTTTGCAAGCTCATCTAAGTGCGTTGCAATTGTTTGCTTCAGTTCCGTGGATACAGAAATATCTCCGATTCCAGACACATCTTCGATCTTACTTACAAAGTTGTCCAGAAGGGGGAAGTTTGCGAAGTTGTTGTTCTCTGTTCGTCATTTCCATAACGTTAGCTTTTTTTGATAAGCCTTCAGCTGTCCTTCCGCTTCTATGATATTAACTCCACCACCTTGCATCTGCTGATTGAGATGATTGAGAGCTGCGAATATATCAGCCATGTACGCTAAAATGAGAATGAACTCAGGATTTTTGAAGCAATCTGCATGACAGTGTTGGTGCTCTTGCAAAAACAGGGCTAATTCCACACGCATGGCAAAAACACGATTCAGCACCTGTCCCCGGGATTACCACCGAACATTAGAATGGTACAGAAGTACCTCAAATTCAGAGCCCATTTCTTTACACAGCTCACTGAAGATGCGGTGCCTCAGAGCACTATTTCGCACATAGTTCACACAGTTTTTAACACTTCTGCCATTTTTGGAGGCAAGGGTTTTGTTGCCAATGCATGCCTGTGCAAAATACAATGAGTCACAATGATGTGTGGTGCATCAGCTTTTACTAGTGCACCAAAACCAGAGTTTCTTCCCAGCATGACTGGAGCTCCGTCTATACAAACTGCAGAAACCATGTCCCGTGAAAGATTGTTGTCTCTGAAGAAGTCATCCACAAGCTTCTTCACATCAGCTGCCTTAGTTGTTGTTGTAAGAGGCTTACAAAATAAAAAATCTTCTTTAATCATGTCATCTTTCACATAGCGCACGAAAACAGTAAGCTGGCTTAGATTAGCAACGTCTGTGCTCTCATCGAGTTGAAGGCTGAATTTTGCCGGGCTTGAAATCAGCGACTACTTGAGCCAAGATGTCTTTACTCATGTCTTCTATTCTGTCACTGATGGTGTCATTTGAAAGAGGAATTTGGGATAATTTACCTTCGGCCACTGTTCCGAGTATCAGATTTGCCATCTTTAACGCAGCTGGTTTCACAAGTGTTTCACCAATGGTGTGTGGCTTGCCCTGCTTTGCGACCAGATAAGCAACTTCATACGATGGTGTGAGGATCGGTTTGTTAACGGGTACAAATCCAAGAGCAGGCAGAGTGGGCCTTTCATCGAATCTGGCTCTCTTCGCCTTGAATTCAGTAAGTGTTGTGTTATTGTATTCCCCGTCTCCATGCAGCGTCAAGAAGTTTTCCTTTAGTTTTGCGAGACTGGAGTTGCTCAACTTGGCGTTGCAAATCATGCAGATAGAACGCTCACTTCCATCACGTTCTGTAGGGGGCGTGTCATCACAAATTTACACGATAATTCGGGTGTGTCTTGACCTCTGCGACCTCTGTGGTGGAGGCTCTGCCGAACCCCTGAGACCGATTCACCAAACTCCTAGGGTTCGATCGAACCCAGGTTAAGAACCACTGTGTTAGGATATGACTGCAGCTTGTAAATTCCTGAGATGGGAGAATAAACTAGCATGTTGCTATCTGTAATAGATGTTTCCATGTCTTTATTTAATTAAAGTATTCATATTTTCTATAATTATTAATTATATGGTTGTTGTTGTTATTATTGTTATTATTGCTCAACTTCAGATACAGAAAGTAGGTTCTTTAGAGTAATTAAATTAGTTTTGCATTTTAATTTTAAATTCATTTTTACAAAATTTAAGACGTTTTAACGGAGTATCCAGTCCTGTGAAAAACTAAGTATACTTTTACTGCCTTTATAGGTATTAAGAAGTAGCAGGTGCTGATAATAAGTAAGCATCACCTTAATAAATTTTGGCAGATTTGGCTGGTTTGCCATTCACTTCAAACCTGGAAATGCTCAGAGAATGATCAAAAACCAAAGAATGATATCTCAGTGTGTGAAAAGTTAAGTTTAGAAACAATTAGAAAAAGAAGAGCAATTATGGCTTATTTGGAAGGGTTGCTAAGATTGCTCTCTAAAAAGGACATAGCTTAGGTTTTAAAGAGACTTCTAGTTCAGTGTCCTTTGGAGAAATGAGATCAAAGTTGATATATTTTAGCATAACACCACATTTGGCAAATACCAAACACAGCACATGAGCACAAACACTTAACACCTATGGGGATGGTGATTTGGGCGTGTTTTACAGCCACACAAATAACCCCTGTATGCCAAATCATTCTGGAATCAAATATGAGGCCCTTCATCCCAACAGCTAAAGGCTGGCCCGTAATGAGTCATGCAAAGAACAATGATCCTAAAGAGAGCCGAGAGAGCTGTGTATCAACAATGCTTGAAAACCTAAATGAAGTGAAGCTACACCGTAAAGACGAGCGGGCTATTCCTCCACTTCCACCACAACAATATGAGACACTGATAAAGACATAAGGAAGCAACTACTTATTTTTTAGTAAAGGTTGTTTTGTTCTTTTCTAAACAGATTGTGTTTGAAGGAATTCGAGGCTCGGGTTTTGAGGGGGATATTGCCATTGACGACGTGTCTATCACCAGAGGAGAATGCAAGCAACAAAACACTGTAGCCAACGCAGGTAAGACAGGTAAGATATTTTGTGATTTTTGTGTAGAAATATACTTAATAAACAAAGAAGCACACAAAAGCAACTTTTGGAATTCGTGGTTGGGTCATCTTCATACGTTCAGAGAAACTCCAAATAAGACAGGCAATGCCATTCTATTAAAAAAATGTATAGCTTTGATATTATTTTCAGCAGAAATACATAAAAATCAACGACTTACTAAGAAAATGAATTATCAAACTAAATTCACCTGAGCTGGATTAAGTTAAAATGAAAATAAACTAAGGCAATAGAGAATTTAATTGCTATAGAAACCATATTTTTAGAGCTGTCACGATATGAGAACTAAAAGTCTTCTGTAGTGTATGGGAGGTGTTGGAATATAGAGCACAGAGAAAATATTGCCTTTGTGTGGGATGTATAGAAACAAGTGGACACCACAGGGCACCAGCATGGAGGTAAGCTGGAAGGCTCATCATAATTTGTGGTCCTTCTTCTTCTTCTTCTTTAATAACTGCATTTATCTTGCTTTCTTTTCATCCTCTAACTGTCCATACCACATCCTGCTGCGTCTTCCACACTTATTGCCATTATATCTATTCTTGTTTCCTTTTACCCTACATTCTTCATCTATCCTTTATTCATCAGCATAGCTCTGCTCACTGCTCTTTATCTTTAAAAGCTTGGGTTATTTATTTTAGAAATGTAGAGAAATTACAGAGACACTGTGTGATAATTAAGGATTTAGATAAGAAAAGAAGATAAATGCAGAAACATATGCACAAGAAGAGGAAAAAATGTTTATACACAATAAACTGACCAATCAAGTTTGCATGGTAAGTTAAATCAAGCAATCTGCTCCTAGTAGGGGCGATCGTGGCTCAAGAACTGGCAGTTCGTCTTATAATCGGAAGGTTGCCGGTTAGAGCCCCGGCTTAGACAGTCTCGGTCGTTGTGTCCTTGGGCAAGACACTTCACCCGTTGCCTACTGGTGGTGGTCAGAGGGCCCGGTGGTGCCAGTGTCCGGCAGCCTCGCCTCTGTCAGTGCGCCCCAGGGTGGCTGTGGCTACAATGTAGCTGCCATCACCAGTGTATGAATGGGTGGATGACTGGTTGTGTAAAGCGCTTTGGGATCCTTAGGGACCACGTAAAGGGCTATACAAATGCAGGCCATTTACCATTTAATGTATCCTAGGTCAAGCTAAGCTGTACTCATAATATTATTTTGTTACATACAAATACTGTTTGACACGAGCAACTTTAGCAAGAGGTGGGAATCCAACAAGAAAAAGTGTCAGTGAAGCAGTTTCGGTCCATGTAAGTGTGTGGAGGGATTCCAATAGCCTGCAGGTTAGAGAAGATATAGCAAGAGAAGAGGTCAAAAACACAGTGTTCAAAATTATTTATATATATATTTGTTCATTTGCATGTATATGTGTCTGTTAATATAAGAAACAGCAAAACAAATACAAATGGAAAGTGATCCAAAAGACAAAATATGGCTACCATCAGCTGTCCTCTGCAAACCAAGTCATGCAGGCAAACATGCACATACACACACACACACACACACACACACACACACACACACACACACTTACTGGCATTCCAGATCACATACAGGAAACATCTGATGAAATTTCAGACTGTTCACTTACTTTTTTCTAATAGGAAAAAAAAATCTTTCTATCATAATATATTGACCCTACAATTTAATTGACCAGTTTTAAGTGACAAATTTTACACAGCCCAACATGAAGAAAAAAAGATTGAAATACACTCTTTACTAGGACTCGGAGCAAAATAGGAAGGACCCCAGGTACAGACATAGATGAAATACAGAAGCAAATGCTGTGTGTTGCATTATAATATACAGCGACATGTACTTAGAATGTTCATGTTAACTTTCGCCAGAAATTATTATGAAAAAATATTAGAAATAAACAAAAAGAAAAAAATTGAAAACACACAATCTAATAAATTATTAACATCCTCCTTTTACCTCCTCAAACCTTGAGTGTGAGTTGGTGTGTCTGAGTGTGCTGATGATTGTCTGCTTGGATGTGCAGTGCAATCTCACACATATGTGCATGTAACAACACTGGCGGATGGAGTGAATAATGGATGAAGGTGAAAACAGGAAGAGGAAAGCTCTTGAGCTATCAGAGCGGGCGCGTGTGCATTTGTGTCCTGCAGGTTTTATGCAGGCAGAGACTCACAGTGCAGACAGATGGGCAATTATCAGGCAAGTAACTAAAAAGTCTTTGCCACTGCAAGAAACAAAATGCATCTGTCTTGGGTACAAGCTCTACCTCCATGAAGTTGGTGAGGTAAAATAGGGATTAGAGAAGAATAAACCCACACTCAAAAAAATAATTCATTGGATGAACGTAATTTTATCTTGCCACTTATATTCCATCTAAAAAATCATGTTATATTAATCCATCTTGATTGGGTTGTTTTAACACGATATATGTTTGTAAGTTTAACATAATATTAACAGTAACATTCCATTAATTTGACTTTTATTCAAACAAGTTGTTTGTACCAAGTTAGTCTAATTAAATTTAGTTAAAGTCATGTTATATTGTTTAAACACATACATCAAAAGTCAGTCTTGTTACATGAACTAGTACAATATTTGTTTGTTACACCAGTGATAATCTTATTGAATGAACAAATGTAACTTCTGTCTGTAGTACATGTTGTGTTCATATTACATAATATTCAACAAAAAATTCAACAGACTTAGAGCAACTTCCAATCCAGCTATCCTCTTATCTTTATCTGGGCTGCGGAAGTGATAAGGTAAGAGGGGCAGGGTACATCCTGGACAGGTCGCCAGACTATTACATAGAGACAAACAACCATTTGCTCTTTAACACCTTTGGGTAATTTATAATCACCAATTACCCTTACCCTAATAACTGAATGACTTCTAACTGTGGAGGGAACCAGAGTACGCAGAGAGAACCCATTGCAAACTTGGCCAGATTGAACCCAGGACCTTCTTGCTCTGAGGCAACAGCACGAGCCACCATGGCGTTGAGCTGTCAATACAGACTCAACAAAAGTAGGAAAGCTATGCTTGATGCAGAATTTTCTTTATGTTTTTGTTCTTGACAAGTTAAACCATAGTAAATAGTAATACAGGGAGTGCAGAATTATTAGGCAAGTTGTATTTTTGAGGAATAATTTTATTATTGAACAACAACCATGTTCTCAATGAACCCAAAAAACTCATTAATATCAAAGCTGAATGTTTTTGGAAGTAGTTTTTAGTTTGTTTTTAGTTTTAGCTATTTTAGGGGGATATCTGTGTGTGCAGGTGACTATTACTGTGCGTAATTATTAGGCAACTTAACAAAAAACAAATATATACTCATTTCAATTATTTATTTTTACCAGTGAAACCAATATAACATCTCCACATTCACAAATATACATTTCTGACATTCAAAAACAAAACAAAAACAAATCAGCGACCAATATAGCCACCTTTCTTTGCAAGGACACTCAAAAGCCTGCCATCCATGGATTCTGTCAGTGTTTTGATCTGTTCACCATCAACATTGCGTGCAGCAGCAACCACAGCCTCCCAGACACTGTTCAGAGAGGTGTACTGTTTTCCCTCCTTGTAAATCTCACATTTGATGATGGACCACAGGTTCTCAATGGGGTTCAGATCAGGTGAACAAGGTGGCCATGTCATTAGTTTTTCTTCTTTTATACCCTTTCTTGCCAGCCACGCTGTGGAGTACTTGGACGCGTGTGATGGAGCATTGTCCTGCATGAAAATCATGTTTTTCTTGAAGGATGCAGACTTCTTCCTGTACCACTGCTTGAAGAAGGTGTCTTCCAGAAACTGGCAGTAGGACTGGGAGTTGAGCTTGACTCCATCCTCAACCCGAAAAGGCCCCACAAGCTCATCTTTGATGATACCAGCCCAAACCAGTACTCCACCTCCACCTTGCTGGCGTCTGAGTCGGACTGGAGCTCTCTGCCCTTTACCAATCCAGCCACAGGCCCATCCATCTGGCCCATCAAGACTCACTCTCATTTCATCAGTCCATAAAACCTTAGAAAAACCAGTCTTGAAATATTTCTTGGCCCAGTCTTGACGTTTCAGCTTGTGTGTCTTGTTCAGTGGTGGTCGTCTTTCAGCCTTTCTTACCTTGGCCATGTCTCTGAGTATTGCACACCTTGTGCTTCTGGGCACTCCAGTGATGTTGCAGCTCTGAAATATGGCCAAAGTGGTGGCAAGTGGCATCTTGGCAGCTGCACGCTTGACTTTTCTCAGTTCATGGGCAGTTATTTTGCGCCTTGGTTTTTCCACACGCTTCTTGCGACCCTGTTGACTATTTTGAATGAAACACTTGATTGTTCAATGATCACGCTTCAGAAGCTTTGCAATTTTGAGACTGCTGCATCCCTCTGCAAGATATCTCACTATTTTTGACTTTTCTGAGCCTGTCAAGTCCTTCTTTAGACCCATTTTGCCAAAGGAAAGGACGTTGCCTAATAATTATGCACACCTGATATAGGGTGTTGATGTCATTAGACCACACCCCTTCTCATTACAGAGATGCACATCACGTAATACGCTTAATTGGTAGTAGGCTTTCGAGCCTATACAGCTTGGAGTAAGACAACATGCATGACAAAATACTCATTTGCCTAATAATTCTGCACTCCCTGTACATACACGTGGTGTGTGTATGGTTGTCTGCCTCTTACAACCCCAGTGATTTTCCAGTGGTTTGACATCTCATATGATCTTGTGAATTTCGTGAGTCCAGGCAACTATAACCACTCTTCCTAGATTGTATCGTGTCATCTGAACAAGAACAAATTAAGTTTTTGAATTTCATGCACATCCAACATGATTTAACTGCGTTCACCATAGAAACATGAAATTATTTTGTTCAAATGACAAGTTAGACTTTTGTAAATGTAGCAACCACCCAATTTACTTTTTTTAGTGCAACTCTGTCAGTAATTGTACATTTTCATTTATGACT